GTAAAATATTTCTGTAGTTTTATAAAGCACTTAGCAAGTGATTAGCACATTCAAGGTTTGGAAATAGATATGAATCAACCTTTTAATCAGCAGGCAATGCTACCGTAATTTCCGGAAGAAACGCCGCGGCGTTTACGTGTTTAAAACTTAAATTTTCAGCGGATGCAGCGTTTCTACCCAGCGTTTAGGTGCACTAAAAATAAAATAATTCCTATGATGGTCATTGTACATAGTTTGGATGGCCTTGTCATTGTGCATAGACTGGTGCTGTTCCCACACAAAAGACCACTCAGTTGCTTTTTGCGAACGTTATTTGTTTAATTCTTTCCCTTGAACGGACCTACATGCCTTATTTCACCCTAAACCAGATCTCAGAACAATAACATTCTTCCCCTTTTCAAATCAACATTCTCATCAGTTTGAATAGTCTCTCTCCTCTGCCATTCGATGAATCTTCCAGGACCCATCCTCTCCCCACCCCTGCCTTTACTGCAATTTTTTTCAAAGGCGGACACGACTCCACCTGCCTCGCAATAACGAACTCTGACGTATTTCCCCTTCAGCATGAATGGATTTTTCTTGGCATTCTGCCAAATACAGATCTCATCAGTTTGGGTACAAGTACTTGTTGGATAGTTTTTAAGTAAGAAGGGAGCGGAAAATTTTTGAAAACGTCTCTAAACGGCACAGAAGCTGTACATTTTCTTACCTTTAATTTATTTTGAATTATGGTTTCATTTCATGCATTTTCTTAACTGGTATGTCATATATCAGGACTTAGGTTGAGTTTTTGCATCTATACGGCCCACGATGATGTCACACGCAATTTAATCTATTGCGGCGTTTACGCTGATGCGGCCTTTCTGTGTAATTTTAATTTTTTTCCCGCCATTTTTCTCGAGTGCAGCGTTTGCGCTGATGCGGCCTTTCTTCCGGAAATTACGGTATATACGTTTTCTAATATGCTTGCCGTCTTTTTAACTTGGAAAGATAAAATTATGCTGAACACCTTTTTTTCCTTTTTATTGCTATTTCACATTTTAACAAGTATTTAACATGAACTGACAATGCTTAAAATTTTACCTTAAAACCAACAATGTTATTTCTTGCTTTAAAGAATTTTAGCTAATAAATGGTGGCAATTTTCGGATAACTGGCTCTTGGTGACCAGGCCCCGTTGGATGGATGCGGGTGAACACCACCAAGCCGGGCTACCAACCCCGACAACATTCTGCTGACGTTTAGGTTACTGTAGAAGACGGTTTAGGTAACAGGAGGGACTTTATGAGAACTTAGGGAAAACTTCTTAGGGTGCATATTGATTGTCACGTGACCATTTTACTTCGCTTCTTCTCAGATGAAAGAACAAACATTTCTGGGACTTGTATATATTGTTTTCTAGAAACACATCCGAGTTATTGTTATTCATAATTTATTATTTAGTGCTAGAAAACATTTGATGTTACAACACTACACAGGATTATTTTGCTCTACAAGAAACTTCAAATAATGAACTGCCAAGATAATACTACGGAAAGCTTTCTTATTGTTTCTATTTTTTTATCAAATTTAGATTTAATTAAAAATCACCTTAACCTGCACTTAACATCAAGTAATTTGAAAATAGATAGTGCCTATTTTTTAAAGGAAATTACATGATAATATCCAGATAAATATTTTTTCATAAACAATTCATCGAAGAAATCTTATATATAAAAACTGTAATTTACAAAATTTAGCAATGCTTTAAAAAAAAACTCTATAGTCAAAGAGCAAGAGAAACAATTTTCCTTTTTTTCCCTCCCTTTTCTTTTTTTAAGTACATGTAAGTCTTACGGCGATGTGAAAATGGAATCATTTATAACGTCAAAATGTAAAATGCTTGTAAAAATTTTTCTTTTTCAGATCCGATGAACAGGCTTTGATCTATAAGAATGGAGTTCAATGAAACTAATTATTGGATACATTAACAAGGAATGGCTCTATAACAGTTGTTCTTGTGAAAAAATAAAATTTTATAAGTGATCGGCAGAATCGTAGTTACGGTTTTCAGCGCCCAGGGACAACTGAAGATTTCGTACCTTCTACTGCTATCAAAGAAAGGAAAACATTTAACTCTAAAATTTTGTAACATCAGTTTGCCGCCCCTTGGATGCTGCTCCCAGGGACAGATGCCCCCCTTGGCCCCCTCTAGCTACGCCCCTGGTGATCAGATACACTGTTTCTTGTGAAAAAGTTACATTTTAAGAGCACCTGGATACCAATTTTATTGTGAAAAATTTAAACTTTCACATAAATTAAGAAGACAAAGATTGTATAAGAAATGCCATCTAGGGGTAAGTACCTTCATTTTGTAATATATGTTTAAATTGATTAATTAAAAAAAGAAAGATGAAATTCTTGCATATTGAAAAATAAGTTAAGAAATAATTAATTAAAAAAGAGAGATGAAATTCTTGCATATTGAAAAATAAGTTAAGAAATATATATTTAAACTGATTAATTAAAAAAAATAATACTCTCATATACTGAAAAAAAGTTTCTTAAAAAGAACATAGCATATATTACAAATAGTTTAATAATTTTGGAATTTTTTCATTTCGCTTCCATATATGTCATGTTTAACTATCACACACTTACCTGCATACATGTGTAAAAAATATTTTGAAATTTAGAGAAAATGGCAAATAATTCCATTTTTAATTTAAATGCCAAATAATATGAGGCCAAAATTACAAGTAACTTAAGTTTTTAGGTAAGAAACTTCCTTGTAGATGGATTGTTTACAGTTTAAGCAGCAGTACCTATTTGCCTTACAGTGTTTCATGCAAAACATTTTACTTGTACATGTTAATTAAAATGTCTTGTTCCATAACTTTAGAATGAATTAAAATTGGTAAGTTCTCATATCATGCTTAGTGATATAACATTAACTGTGTTATACAACACTGAAGAAACAGCGAATGTCAACATGAACAGGGGTAAGTTCAATTTTCCCTTTCGGCAGTTCAGAATTGTTTTCCCTGTCCATTTCCCTCGAATTGGAAAAAACAATATTTGGCTGCCATCTTCGATTTTAAAATGCGCATTTCTAAAATCCAAGATAGAGGCCAAAAAATTGCCAAAGTCAGCCAAGAGCCGGGTACCCGAAATGAGCCTAAATGGTTTCTGAAAGATACTTTACTACTGTAAAGTACAACAGTTGGAGAAGTCAGTACTCATAAAAACCCTCCTTTTTCTATTTTTTTTAATGTTAATCTACACAATCTAAGAATGTTAATCTACATATTTAATGTAAAAAAACAAATTCTGGGTTAAAACGACAGCTTCTTTATCTACTTCATTGAAACAACATTTCAGGAATACAATTCCTTTTTCAAAAGCATTCAGTCCCTTAGCTACATTTATTTGGTTATATAATTTTCCTCGACAACTTCGAGAAAAAAGCAAGAAGAGAAATTTAATGTCAGAGGGAAGGAAAACCCGTATGCAGAAGTAAAATCGGCTAATCTTTGGAATGTGGTAACAGGTAGTTTGGCAACATTTTGGTAAGGCGATAAAGGTTACTAGCTAGGACTTTAGCAGTGTACATGGATAAAGTCAAGAGTGTGGGCAATGCCATTTTTGTGCAATTCTGGGATGTTTTTTTAAGTGAAAATAGGTCGACGTGTATGTGGATACAGTGTATATGTAATTTTTAAAAACACGGCAAGCAGCGGGCGATTCTGCACTTTCCCCAAATTTCGCACCTAATCTTCGTCATGATTAAGCCCTTTTGTTCCATAAAAGTTCTAGCATAAGCGTAATTCGATTAGCAGATTGTTGGAAAAAAATGTTGAGAAAAAAAAAACATGCCTTTACTTTGTGAAAATAAAATGGCGTCCAAAAAAAAACTAGCAGGTTGTAGTAGCAGGGTTGGTCGCCAAAAAATCACCAAGTTACCATAATTCAAAGATTAACCGTAAAATCTAATTTTTCATAAATTTACATTAAATAATTTCATAAAAATTCTTCACAGTTATGTAAATACTATTATTTAGTATCAAACTAATGTTTGCACATCTTCAGTGTGCATGTCTCCAAAGCACCCAGCTGTAACAAACTGGATGGACTCAAATAATACATACCAGGCATAATACATAAAAATCTAGATAATACATGCATTAAATATACTGGAAGTCTAGATGTAAATCATCTATGCCTATGCTATATTTTCATATTGTACAATTCTGTTAAAAGGCAGACCTCTCACAAGTTAAGTACTTTACAAATTGTAATAGAATAATGAATAGAAAAATATAACTAAACTTTTAAGCCCCCTTTTTAATAAGATAACAATTACATAATTCAGAAAACCAATAAGAATCTTCATCAACACATGCTAAAAATTATACTATCAATTTTAAGATACATTCCACAAGCTTCACATAAAATGTGAACGAAGAAAAAATCAACTGGTATAAAAATTACGGCAATTTTTAAAGTCATTTATAGAAAAATAAAAGGTTTAATCCTAGTATCCAGTGCACACAGGATTTGGCTACTTTCTGATGAGCATTAAAAACGGGACATATACGATGAGTAGTTAACGGGTCATTCAAAGAAAGTATACAGTTAAACATAGTATATATACTATGTGTGTATATACATATACTATGTGTGTATAGTATACATATAGACGTTCTTTGGATCATTTTTAGTGTTGGCGATAATTTTCAAAGTCCTGTCAAGGCTGCACCGTATACTAGGATTCTACCAAATAAACAGTGGCGTAGCTAGAGTGGGGCAAAGGGGGACATCTGTCCCCGGGCGCAGCATTCAGGGGGCACCAAATTGATGTTACGAAATTTTTCCGTTCTTAGCACAGAGAAAGGGGCGCAAAATCTTCTGTTGTCCCTGGGCGCTGAAAACCCTAGCTACGCCTTTGCAAATAAAATATTCAAATGTAGAAAAATAACATATTCAAATGTAGAAATAAATTAAAAACTCAATGGTCTTACTCTTTAAGGTCTCCCATTGCAAAAACAGTTCGTTTCTAAAAAATTAAAGAAATAGGAATTAAAATTTCGGCACTTGATTTAAAAGTTTGCAATCTAACATATAAATAGAAAATAAAATCAACAAATAAGCATAATAAAGCAAAAAAAATAAATAAATAATAGCTCACTATGATAAGTAACAGCGGTAAAATGAAGAATCGTCCACTTATTTGTTTGCCGCTTTTTACAAGAATTGGATTTTTGTCAGTTTTCTTTTAATAGGTCGATGTGTACATGGATAAAGTCACGGGAGTGCGCAATACCATTTTTGTGCAATTCTGAGATGCTTTTTTAAGTGAAAATAGGTCGATGTGCACATAGATACCGAGTATGTGCAATTCTTAACGCACCAAGCAGTGGGTGATTCTGCACTTTCCCCAGTAACAAATCCGAAATGCTATCAAAAAATGTTATCAAAGTTTTAAAAATTTACAATTCTTCCTTAATTTACAAGAATATTTTTAACATTATATACTCTAAAATGATAAACATAATATATAATTTACTGAAATAAATTATGTAACAAACATTACGAAAAATAATGAGCAATTAGCCCGCGCAATAAGAACAAAAGAATTTTCAATTCAATATAGACTAAAAATATTTTAATTTAATTGATGTTTAAGAACTATTCGAACAATCTTTCTTCACTTATATTTAAAAGTTTGAACGGGAGTGTTACTAAAAATCATACAGCTCTGCAGAAGGCCTAATATTTGTTCAGCAAGCGTTAATCACGAACAGAGTGTCAATTCTAACAAGGCCAGGTCAAAGAAAGTCTATTGGCCTTCTTTCTAACTGGAGTTGGATAACTCAGGGGGGGGGGCCCAAGAGCGATGCGCAGTGCAGGGAGAAAGTTATGCCACATACGCATGACGTCATGTGGGTGACAGAGTTAGTTCTTGGCGTTTGTTTACTTTCGTTGCATCAACAGTTTGATTTGATTTGTGTTGTAATTTGCTATTATACCTAGGCGGAAGTGTCAAATTGTGCTATAGCGTTGTGTCAGAATTATACACGTTAATACGTTTTTGGCGGAAAACACTTTTACAACCAGATAAAATAACTATTTTTTTAATGAATTTATGTAGTTTTCATACATAACTGTGATGTAATTTTACATTTATTTTTCATTTTACTGCTATTTTACATTTAAAATTGAAAAATTTCTCATTTTAAATAATTTTTTATCATAATCTTCATTTGTGTATGAGACTTACATCGTATGAGATATTTAAACTCAGCGTCAAGTTTACCAATACTGAGTACTTGAATCATTAGTTTATAAATTCGCTTATCCAACTTCATTCACATGTTTTGGTTACTTTCCTTACATCCCAAACGCAATTCTATGTATTGAAGCAAGCGTCTGGGTTAAGCTTTGCGAACTAAGTAAACTGATACATGCTTCACCGTGAGGAAAGAACAATTTCTCGACCACACTGTGATGCAAACATCGAATGAGTGAGGGACATACTTCCTTCAATGTTATTTAGCTGATGCATACAGGTATGTGTGATGTAATTTAATTGATATAATAAGTGAACTTACACATGCTTGAACCCTGAAGGAAAAAAAATCTGTGTATAATGCTAGAATACAAATAGCGAAAGATTAAGTAAGATATTCTGTTCAGTGTTATTTAACTGCTGCATATGTTTTAATTTTGATTCCATATAACTTTTTTTTTAATTATAAGAGAAAGAAAAATAATTTAATATTGAACACATATTTCGAGTATAACAAAAGTATTTTAAGAAACAACCTGATAAAAATACATTAGTAATTAAAAATATTTAATTTGTGTACAGGCTGAACTGAAATTAAGATGTGGTGGTGTATTTAATTATGGCAAAGCACACTAGGGCTATCTGCGTAATAGGTGTGATGCCTTCGTGGAGGACTTTCTCAGGGAAACTGGCTCGTATACACGTTACCACATGAGGAAAACCACGAAAACACCCATGCAGCCAGCCCGTTCGCGGGATTCGAACCGAACTACCAGTGTTCAGCGACTTTACCGCTCGGCCGCTGGTGGGCCGAAACTAAGATGTAGGGCAAGTTTATTATTATTATTATTGTGCGTATATGTGTAAGAAAATGTATTTTAATTGTTCCATTTTTAATGTATGGAAGGAAGAATAGGATGCCAATATCGAAGATTATTTACTATAGCAAATAATCACGTCAGGATAAATGTTATATAGAAATCTTGGGAGTGTAAGGGATTATAAGAGTACTTTTAGATTATACTGAAAATATATGCACTTCTGCTAAAATCTGAAGTGAATCAGTATGAAGTGACTTTTCACTTTAAAAAGAATGTGATAAGTATACTATTTAAAAGTATAATGACGGATATTAAGAAATTTGTAGAATTTTATGGTATTTTTAAATATGAATTTGTTAAGTCAAATCTTTTTATATATATTTTTGCTTGAGATATGTAATTTAAACTGAAAATCACGATCATATATTTCTCATGGAATGTCAAAGTTCATTTGTGTAAAAAAAAAGTGCATGAGCAATGAAAATAAATAGAATAATACTTTTTGATTATGTTTTTACCATGGTCTTAGCAGTTATGCCATCATGTGTTCTGTTCAACAAGATTTATTTAGTGCAAACAATACTACGAAAAAATATTGAAAAATACCTTGTTTTACAATATTATTTCCCTTAATTAACTTAAATATCGTTTTTCATTTTCTAATGCTTTCCTTTACGAAAAGAATTTAATGTTTACAATTATTTTCAGCATTCGTACGAATTCTGTGCATAAAATAAACATTTTCTTTAACAAAATACTTAATCGGAAAGTATATACCCGGTATTTCCGGTGTATCTACCACATATAAAATGATCATTTTGCTTTAGTTTACATTTTTTCCATTACCAAAATCATGTAGCAGACGCGTCGGCCGATGCGTCTTGTCTCCCGGGTGACGTCACTACCAGCAACCAATGGCACGCTTTTTCCGTTCCTGGCCTAACCTTAGTATATTAAAGAACCTTGGGATAACTGGAGACTAGCGGCTCAAAACAGGGATGGCTGTGAACGGCTCCCTATGAGAAAATCTTTTGAACGAACTGCGCATGCGCCGTTTCTTTTTATCGCCAACAAATGATGGTAAACATATTGAAATTTCTTGCCAGCGTTTCGCGTTTCATTTGAATTAGCGTAGGTGTTATCAGTGAGATTAATAACAACGATAATAAAAAAAAATCATTTCAAATGTTTACGCCAGTAAATATTTTTTGCTCTTTTTCACACTATATATGCTATCATCGATAGAATTAAGAACTTTTAGTAATTAGGTCAAAATTAATTTTAACGTGTAAATTTCAAACTCACAAATTTGAGTACAGATTTTCATCAGATGTCTGAAGGCAGTTACTATATTTCAGTACAGCAAATCCTGGAATATAAAAGAAAAAAAATTTAATTGAAGTCTATTCTTCAGCTTTATTCTAATTCCTATCGATACATCTCTCTAAAACAGTTTATTACAGAAGTTTCAGATGTAAAAGAAGTTCATAAAGGTATTAATCAATGAAATTATTTCCAATGGTCAGTGAAATTGGTTGCAGTTTCAGACACTGTTGCAGAAGTTTTCACATACAATTGCTGTTTATTGTGCAAGTAATATTGAAACTAACTAAAGTGTTTGCATAGATTTCTGCATCTTGGCGGAAAAAATGGAACATTAGTGGAAACAAATTATGTATATATTGATACTGTAAATGTGGGAGGTTTCAAGACCCAGCAGAAAATATGGTGGCATTGATATCAGTTGCATGTTTACTTTTCCAGACTATTATATCTGAAAAGTACGAAAAGCATTTCATCTACACCATCAGCTTCTTACAAAAATAACTGAGGCTCATCTCAGTTATTTTTATAATATAGTATGTGTGTATTAATAAAAGATGCTGTAAATGTAATTTGCTGTACAAGATAATAAACATGAGTGTCGTTAGGATTTCTAAATATATGTTTGAACAATTATGTACAAAACATTCCTTCAAATTCACTTGAAAGAAATGAAACGAAACTGAAAAAATTCAAGAATCAGTAAGAAGCAACTTTTTTTTATATTTGGATGATATTTTCTTAATGCTATGTTTAAAATCACAATTTCTTAAACTGTTTGTTTTAAGTATACATTTATACTTCTTGCAGGGTTAAAGTGGCCCTAAATCAACATAATTTATTATATTATAAATAATGAAAATTGTACATTACTATATAAAGAAAAAACATAAAGTGACATAGTATGTTAAGTTAGGTTTGCAAAGGTAATTTAAATATTTTATGTGGCAAGACTTGTATGCTTAAGAATTTTTCAATCTTGGTGTTATTTATCGTATAAAAACATCACGATTCAAATAAAAGTACTATTTTGTGGTATAATTCCATTATAGGGGCCGTAGCAAATTGCAGCAAAAACATATGCGCAAAATCTAACGAAAGCGGCGATTTCACACCACGTACATTTAAATAGTTCTATATTTGTAAGTCACCGCCCACACGATATATTGATTAGGGAAGCTGACTGCAATACAACAAGGCCTAGGCTCAAATTCCGGAGAAGGCATGGTTATAACTGCTGGTTCCTTCATAGATTTTTCCGCACACCCCTATTGGTTTATTAGGTGCCTCCATAATAAAGTGACCACCACCTGGCCTTAGTTGTGGCCAAGCTGAAGGCCCGCTGTTGGGGGGGGGAAATATTTTGTAAGTCGCCATTGGAATACTGGTTTATTTTTTTTTATTCTTTTTTGATTATGATATGGATCTAACAATTTGGGAATTGCCCAATGACAAAATGTCTGCAATATAATTTTTCCAAAGAAAAGACATCATTCATTATAGAATATTATGATCGAAAAACCACGAGATGAAATTATGCTTTAGCGGTAACTCAATAGCAAAATGGAGGTGCAGGAATGAACCTGTATTCTGAAGAAAGGATTAAGAAGTCAGATATTGGATCGAAGGAACAAAAATCCCCTTCCTTATAACTGATAGGCAGGCTCACCTATTTTTAGTATCAAGAGATGACATCTATTGAATTTTGTGAACTCCAACTGAAGATGAACCACAATACAACTGTAGACTGGAAGATATGCGTGAGGTGTGTGCCATAGCTTTAATTTCTCAGCCTAAGTTGAAATTCGGCGGATGTGGAAAAAATTATGAAGCAGACAAAAGCCTTTTCAGTATAAACAAGAATAACATTGGACGTCTTCTTCTGCCACAATGGGTTTTTGGTGGATTGTGCAGAGAATCAAAAGAATGTTTTAGTCGCTATTCCAGATCGATCGGTTTGGTGAAACCTTATGGAACATCATAAAGGTTTGGTTTGGTTTATGTGATTAGAGCAAAGCCTCGAGGGCTATCTCCCTAAGGGAAGAGAGGCCTACATGGAGGACTTTCTAAGGGAAACTGGCTTGTATACACGTTACACATAGAGAAAACCATTAAATTGTCCATACAGCCAGCCCGTTTGTGGGATTCAAACCTCAG